TTACATTCCTCCATGGTGTCATTTGAGCGAAAAACTTTTACAAGAACCAGGCTGGGGGGGTCAAAAGGGCTTGACCAAGGCCGACCCAAAGTGCACGGTGGGCGGACTCATCACCTCCGTGATGCGTCTCCATCGTGATTTGAAAACTTCCATCAAACGAGTCCTTCGGTGGGCGGGGGAAAAAACGCGTCAGAATCGTCACTTCCTGTACTGACAGTGGAGGTGTCCTGAGAGTGGAGGTCTGCACCGGAACTGTCCTGAGAGTGGAGGTCTGCAGTCAGGCTCCCATGGTCCTTTGTGCCCGAAATTCAAACCCTGCCCACCATCCCAACTCGAGAAGCACTTGGAAGTGCACTTAAAAAATTGCATAATGTTTAAAGGTAACACACACATATACTGATACACGTTTGTGCTTGTTTTTGTTCTTGTTTCATGTCTGTCATTGGCAAACTTCTTTTTCTTGACTTTCTCTTAAATATGGCAATCTACAAGTGCCATTTAACCTGCAGAGACTTGGCTCACTTCCATTGCCCTCAATGTGCAAAAACCATTGTAAGAAGAGGAGATATGGAGGTACACCTGGAGGCTTGCCACAAGTTGCCATCCACATCAGCTTCTGAACATTGCCCTGGTCCATCCTCAAAAACAACAGTGTCCCCCACTCCCGGCTTTATTGCAAAAGTGGCTGACATTGAAACTTCGAAACCTGGATCTTCCTACCCACTAGTATCATCTTCTGGTGTCCAATTTACTAAATTAACAACTAAATCAACTCTGAAAAAGGTAAAATGCCCACACTGCACCCTGATTTGCTACCAAATAAACCTGGGCAAACACATCAAGAGGAAACACAAAAAACAATCAAAGGACATAACGGAAATAAATCATTTAAAGAGTGTCTGTGTAGATGCAACATTGGGGATATCTGCAGTCCAAAAAGCAAGTCACGGCTTTTCTGTGCCAATACATATCCAAAGAAAAACCTGGGGTCATGTTCATAACATTCAGTGCGAGTTGGAAGTTTGCAGGCAGTATCACTCAATGGCTCTGAGAAGTCGATTCATATTTAGCCATTGTGAACACATCCGGTCACTGGAGTACTGCAGTGAAACAGCTACCGAAGAATTTCTAAAAGAAGAAATCTTATCTGAAATGGTGGAGTTGAAATTCTTTGGTGAGGCTAAAAGGGCAATCTGTGTGAAAAGGCAAACAACTGCCCAGACAGCCCACGCCCCTCTCTGTGTCGAAGTGGCATTTGAAGAGACCCACAGGCAATATTGTTTTTCAATCCACGAGCCGACTTTGAAACAATATAGTCGCCTTGGGAGAGTCATGGTGACATACAATTTACCAGCCAAAACATGGCATTGTCCCTGTGCCAAACCAAGAATGTCATGTGTGCACAAAAAACATAGGCAAATGGCATTTATTTCAAACAAACCGGGAGATATTTAGAACTGGGGTTACGTAATGTAACCCAGCTTCTATGAGTATAGGCGTAGCCCTCTAAGGCTATCGCTATTGGGTAATCCCACTGCACGTGTGCAGCACTGACAGACTTATTGACGTGGGCCCCACCTCCGGGCTCACTTCCGTATAAATAGGAAGTAGGCCCTACAATCCAATCCAACAGCTTTTCTTCAGCTATTCGCGGAACCAGTGGGGCCCGAACCTTAGAGGGCTACGCCTATACTCATAGAAGCTGGGTTACATTACGTAACCCCAGTTCTATATCGTATAAGGTTTCGCCCTCTAAGGCTATCGCTATTGGGTTAAGGGCGAAGCAGGATGTAGTCCACGCCTCACTGGTTCCGTCCGTTACCAGAAGCACAAAACACACCTACTCAGTTAATAACCCATGTCCATTTCGCCATGCGCCATGCCATGCGGAGCATCACATTCCCAGGGAATATAGCATTAAAAAATGAATATTCTCCATCAGGGAACGAAGGTAGGCTTACTCGGGCTACCTGTCGTTTATAAAAAGTAGAGATTGAGTCTCACTTGTTAAAAACGATCAAGAGAGGGGGGAAAAAAGGCAGCTCTCTAAGTGCCGACGGGCAGGAGAGAGGGCATGCAATTGAAAAACCCAGACATTACTCATTCTGGCAGGCTATTCAGTACTGAATGTGTCAGAGAGGAATGGGAGAAATCCCTCAAATACAAACGAATAAAAGAACAGGGGGAAGACCAAGATGCAGCAGTGCAAATGTCTTTCACTGTCATTCCTCCGTGCCGTAAAGGAGGTGAGGAGGAGGAAAGAAGCCATCCAAAGTTATCACTCTCGATCTAAAACGAGCTTGTGATAACCTTTGGCATAAAAACCGGGTTAGGGCGCAAAACAGCTGAACTGCCATCTCCATGGATCCGGAGACATGGCGGAGCCACCGAGAGAGCAGACCAATCACTCACCCTTTTAGCTGATGTCAGAGCCAAGAGCAGAGCTACTTTGGATGACAAAAACTTCAGGGGAACCTGATCTAAAGGTTCAAATGGAGCTTTACTCAGTGCGCGTAACACTAAAGCGTGACACAGGTCTGAGTCTCTGTGCTCCCCGTAGAAAACGTTTTGTCAGAGGGTGACTACACACCGTGCTGACACCAATCTACGTGGCAAGATGAAATGGCAGCAGCATATGTTTCGACCGTGCTATAAGCCAATTCCTGTCCAGCAACAGCTGGAGGAACTACAGCACGAGGCAGGGGGCCCAACGGGGTCCAGGCTTTTCCCTACACACCAAACGGAACATTGCCCATTTGGCTGTGTAGGATGTGTGTTCAGCAGCTGCGCTGATCGAACACCTCCCTGGCGATTTATGTAGGCCGCCGCTGCTTTGTTGTCTGTTCGAATCAACACATGTTGATTGTACAGCAACAGGGCGAAGTGCTGGATTACTTTCCATACGGAGAGTAATTCCAGCACGTTTATATGGAGAGACATGTGACCCGGCCACTGTCCCCCCACTGCCTGTTTTTCCAGTGGGTTCAATCCAAACCCACGGAAGGAGGAATGTACACCATGCGTCTCCTCTGACGCACGGGGTCGATACGCAGGCAAATAACCCACCTCTGGCGTCTCCTCACTGTGAAGGAGACCCAGGGGGATCACCACGTGACCAGCTGATATCATACCTAACAGCTGCATCACAGAGAGGGCTGTCACCGCCCCGCGGGGTGTGACGCGCCGGAGGAGAGCTGTCCGAGCTGCTTAAAAACCAATAGGTTTTTAAAGACAGCCGGTTTATGCAGCGAGCCATGCTGCCTATAACCGACAGGTCAGGGGCAGCCGGCTTCACCGGTGAGCCTTTGCTGCTTATTATTATCCATCTGTCCATCGAACACGCGCGTCGCCACTCTGAGTAATACTCTGAGAGCGCGCGACCTGCTCTGGATGTGCTGTGGTTGTCATGGTGACGAGCAACGTCAGAGCCCTCGCCGCCGTTGCCCGTGAAGCAACCCAAGAGGGGCCCGGTCCGAAAAGGCTGCGAGGGGGCCTCCACACGTTGCATCTCACACCGACTCTCATCCTGTCTGTTTCGGAGAAGGCTCGTAAACTGGACATTGAGGCGCGTTCACGCTCAAACCCGCTGAGGGAATGAGCGGAGGTGTGTGCAGTGCTATTCACACAGTGCATAATAACAGCCCTAGGCTCATTACGACCGTGTGTAGTATAGACACATCTGGGACAGAGAAAAACCGTGCTGCCTATAACCGACAGGTTAGGAGCATCAGGTTTAACCGTCAAGCCCTGCTGTTTAATAACCTACTGGTTAAATTACAGCTGGCTTGTGCCGCGAGCCCTGCTGCCGCGCTAACCAACAGGTTACAGCCGGCTCAAACGGCGAGCCCCGCTGTCTGTTAACCGTACAGGTAACAAACAGCTGGCTTATGCACCTCCACACGCTGTATTACACAGCGGCTCTCCTCATGTCGCCGTTTAGGAGAAAACTCGTAAACGGACATTGAGGTTCACGCTCAAACCTGCTTGAGGAATGAGCGGAGGTGTGTGTAGGAGGCACATCTGTGACATAGGAAACAAACCCGGGCTGTCTAATTAACCGACAGGTTTTAAAGACAGCTGGTTTGAGCCGTAAGCTTTGCTGCCTAACAACCGACAGGCTGTGAGGCAGCCGCTTATGCAGCTTTTTTTATGTCATCCGGAGGAGAGCTCTCCTGAACCGGGGGAACGGGGAGATCTCATTAGGCGGCTGCCTTTCCGATGATCTCCGGGAGTTCCTGGAGAATACCGCCTATCGACGGCAGAGCCGTGATGGCGGATAGAGGGACCCGTTGACCCGTCGTCAGCCCGGCAGCCGAACCTAGGCTCGGCTACCGGGCTGACCCCGGGCCCCCGCCCCGTCTCCCCCGCCGGAGGAGAGGGAGACAGGGCGGGGGAACCACATGGTGATCCGTGAATGGAGGGGAAGGAGTCGCCTAACTGCTGCCCGCCACTCGGATCCAATAAATAAAGGCTTTGGTCCACAGAGTAAAACTCCTGGACTAGCCAATCATCCTCGGCCGCAGCAGCGAGAGCGTCCGCTCTCCACAGCCTGTGGGCCAGAGGGATACGGACACAATGAGTCCACGACACCTGGGGAGTGAGAGCCGCGTTTGCGTGCTCTAATCCCCGGCAAAACTCACACGTGAGCTCCGGTCGTAACTCATATGTCGGGTTGACACTTGGCCCCCACCCTGTTTCCCCCGTCCGGAGGAGAGGGAGGATGGGCCCAGGGGAACCAGGAATGTTTGCTCTTTTAGTAAGTAGCTCTTAAAAGAACTTGTTTTGCCTGTCTATGCTTCTGCAATGGAGTGCTGAAGAAAAGTAGGAGTGGATTGTAGGGCCTACTTCCTATTTATACGGAAGTGAGCCCGGAGGTGGGGCCCACGTCATAGGTGGGCGTGGAATAAGTCTGTCAGTGCTGCACACGTGCAGTGGGATTACCCAATAGCGATAGCCTTAGAGGGCGAAGCCTTATATGATATATAGAACAGAGACTGACTGCTCAAGTGCACCTCAACAGCATCAAGACACTGTGTATCCACCATTGGCTGAAGACTTGAAGCGACTTGTAGAGTACATATTTAGTAATAAAAAGCTTCCAGCCGACCTACCAGATGATCTTGTTACACCAAAGGCACCAACAGAATACATCACAGAGTTGCATCCAACAGAGACCCTTTGCACTGTCTGTCCAGGGTCAGTTCTTCTGGAGAAGTCGGCAAGAATCACCAGAAATGCCAGGATAATCACCATGAATGGTGTAATTGAAAGTAAGTTATTAATGGTTCACCTCATATTATCACATTTTTAAATGTTTAAAAATAAAACAGTGTTCCTTATTTATTTGTGTTTTATTATCATCAGACGTATCAACCTATTTCCGGCGATGCCCACAGTGCCACATGATATATCGATACCAGGAATGGCAGGACAGTCTTCACAACTTTGATGACCATGTCATATTGAGCCTTGAGCTATGCGTTTATTTGAGAGCCAGCTTACAGGTAAGGGCAATGGTATTTGTGGTCAGGAAAAATGCTGAAGTGTTTTTTTTTCTGTGTTGCTTAGAACCTTTTTGTTTATCCGAAATATACACAACTACATTTATTTTCAAATGTTGCCCCTCTCTCTTTTAGAACAATGTTTCCGTGTCCAAGGTGTTAAACTCCCTGGAAGTTGTGAGGAAAGTAACATTTCCTGCCAGAGACACTATCCTCCATGGGTACATGCACTTTGAGGCATTGACAACTAATGATTATTCCTACTCTTGTGTTTGCTGTGGCTACTATCCTCCAGTAGTTGTGATGGACCTGCACAAAAGGAGTGTTCAACTTGCCTGGTAAGTCCCAATGTCTCATGTTTATGTTAATGATAATCTTGTGTTAGTTACAAATATAAGAGTAAGTAAATGTTTGTTTTTTTATTTCAGTGCGTGATCTGAAAGAGGCCTCTGAGAACTATATGGGCGAAGTTAACATTGAAGAGTTCTGGGATTCTGTTCATCATGAGATGATTGCTCGTGGCTTTTTCCAAAGTATTAACATGCTCTTGCATTTCTCCTAATTAGTATTTCCCTTTTTATATACCCCTTCCATGCACCTTACCATATTATGAATGGATTGTTTGTTTTTACCCAGATCGTGCAAAAAACAGCTTTGCTGTAAATCCTAGTTTTGAGCACTGGGGCCCATGGATTGGGAAGAACACACGCAAATCCGACACAGTGTTGAACACAGAGTTCAAAAAAGTATCCTCTTCAAAGTCCTCCCCTGAAGCGGAACTCAGCATGGTGTCAGAGGATCGTCTTGTGGATGAGCTTAAGAAGCAGAAGGTACAACTGCTTTATGTATGTTTGTTTGAGTTGTGTAATGCCATGTTGTCCTACCTATTCTCTTGTCTGTATTTCAAAAGGTTTCGACTGTGTGCAAGCTGTGCATGGCCTGCAATTTAGATTCAAAGGGATCAAGGGATGATCTTGTCAATAGACTAAGGGAGGAGATGAAGACAAGACATGGATATGACAAGATATTCCAGAAAATCTGGGGAGCGTCTGGTAAGGGTCACACATTGTTCATAAAAACAATTAGAGATTTGATATTTGCACATTTACTATATAACTTTGTTTTTCACATTCCCTTCAAAGGTGGGTGGTCAGTGATTCTGTGCCCTCATGGTGTGGTCTACAGTTTGAAGTTCAACCTTAGGGCAGAGTCTCCAAGAGATTTTACAGATCTTCTTTTGTCATGGAAACATCTGCCAAATGCCAGTATTTATGATTTTGCTCGAGGTTTGGCAACTCATGCAAACCTCCGTATCCCAGCATCACTACCTTTCAAGCCACATGAAGGAAGACTGGCCGCATCAACCCATGATAACATCACAGCTGCTCAGAACAACAAACTCAAGGTCTCTCTACCATGGATAACTCAGATGTTGAAAACTCCTGATGAGGATGGACAGCCACTCACTGGTTCCTCAAACCACTATGTGTTGTATGATAAATTCCATGAGGGCAACACCAAAGATCCACAGGAACTGCTAAGGAGGATCAACCTAGTCCCAGAACTTCAGGCTTGGTTAAATAGCCAGGTTGCAGAGCAGCTTTTTTCAAGTATGCGCAAAAACAACTACTTCCTTAATAATATGGCACCATCAACACATATCTTTCTGATGAGAAACATCATACATCACCGAAACAACAACACAAACGCAACACTTTTGGAACAGCAGCTGCAGAGAGGGCATAAGTCACATTGTTTGCAGGATGTCACTCTGGACAACTTTGGACAAGCAGTATTTGGTAAATATGAAGAGAAGTGTTAGGTTTTTATAGCTGTAATTGGAAATATATTGCTTATGAGTAATAATTATGATTTCCTAAATCTTCAGGACACCCACAAACTGAAAAGGTTGTACAGTTCAAACTATCAGCAGTTGGAACCTCTGTGCAGCAACAAGGGCTTCATACAAACAAAGGTAGGACTTAGGTTGTCAAATCAACATAACATTGTTTTGGCTTTTGCTCACTTTATTTCTCCTTGATAGATGATGTCTCATGTGGAACACATTGTGAAGACATCACCAAATGTGACAAAGTAGGACCATGCCAAGCATCATGGAAACTGCAAACTCATCCTGCCCAGGAGCAGCTGGTACATAGTACGTCTCTTGAAGGCAACATGTAGCTCTGATATTCTTGAGAGGTTTGTGTTTCTCATCTTGAAACCCATGAAGTGCCTTGGGAAAGTATACTGTTATTTATGAATGTTTAAATCCTTTTGATTATTTTTTATTTCTTTAAAAAATATAAGCTCACCTATGTGTTGGATACCGAGAGGCCAGAGGCAGAGTTGATTGTCAGAACAGAAAATAGTTGCCTGACACGTGGTGACTTTTGGACCCTTGGCTTAACCAATGAAATGGAATCAACCGTAAGTTAACAGTTTATGTTATGTTGTTGACAGCTAATTGCTCATGTAGTTAAGGCTAACAAAATCAACCCTTTTTCGGTTTCTTTTGCAGATAGGAAACGCCTGTTTTGAGCTTATCGAAAGAATTGCTCAATCAAAGGTATAACACGGTTTTTTTCGGAATACACTTTTTTCCTTCTTATACATTTGTGGCGCCTGGGCTCATATCAATATTTTCCACAGGGGAAGAACATTTGTGTTGCTGATCTGTATGTTGTGCCAACATGGCGACACCCAGCTTTATGCAACCCACTCTCAACTTTACCTGTAAGTATTGCTCTACTGGTTTCGTCACAAAATATATTTATTCCGGACTATTAAAGTTTTGTTTTAAACTTTTCCTTTTTTATAGAATGATGCTTCCATCAGAGACGCCATCTGTATTCCTGTGTGGAAACCTGGGCACTTCCTGTTGGCTGTAAGTACTGATACTAACTGTGGCGTGGATTTCACGAGGAACATTCTAAATTACTAATTTGTTTGTAGCCTTTATTTATCCAGGTAAAAATCCCATTGAGATCAACGATGTCTTTTACAAGGGAGACCTAATAAATCTAATGCTTTTAAAAAGTAATTGTATTTGACATTACACTGTACTGTGATCGTCTTGCGTTGTGTTGTGAAGTGATGCTGTCATGCAATGCTGAGTTAAATGTGATTAACTGCAATTGTAGGTTTTGAAGCCAACACAGAGAGACAGTCTTTCTGGATTCCAAATGTGCACATGCACAATTTGGATTTGGTGATCAGGAAATGAGAGCTGTTGAGGTCACTAACAACAACTTTTGTTCAATAATTTGGTTCTCATTGTTGTTCATGTTCCGATGCCCTTGTGAGAGGTTTATTTTTTTTTCACCAGATCAAGTTCGGATCTGTGTTTTAGCCTTTTTATGGTGCAAGGGAAACAAACATCAATTTCAATCTTAAAGTTAATATGATGATCATAACAATATTTGAAACCAGCAATTACATTAATAAACCTGCACCATAAGAAGCCTGCTTAAATCGAATGTTTGACTGCATGGAAATGTTCAAGAGAGTGTGCAGAGGTGGGAACTAACGAAGTACAAATACTTTTGTTACTGTACTTAATTAGATAATGTGACAATAACACACAAAGACGAGCCCTTGGTGTGCACATCATGCACCATACACGCAAATCACGAAAAATAGGCATTTAAAGTTACATTGTAGTGTGATTACAAAGCCTGTACTTTTTAAAGTAAAATGTTGTATCAGTACTTCTACTTTTACCAAATTATTTTTTTACACAAGTATCTGTGCTTCTACTTAAGTAAAGAGTGTGTACTTTTGCCACCTCTGATGGTGTGTGTTGTGCATGAAAGAGGACCATATTGATCATTTTGATAGCGACCTGTTTAGAACTTCATACAGCTGTGTTTTTCATTCTAGAAACCTTTCACAGTCAATACATCCTGGACCGTGGAAAGAGACGACTGGTTTGGAAATAGAGGTAATACTATACCATTTGTATCATTTATATTCAACAGAAATGTCAAACCATAACAAAACAACTAAATGCTTTCTGACATGCTAGGGTTTCCCCAGGCAACTGTATGGGAATGACTGTGGCATCTTCATGTTGATGGTAGGCTACATTATTGGTCTGATTGAATTCTCTGTTGTTTTTAAGATAATAACATTAAATTATATATTTTCTTTCATAGTATGCCCTTTACACCATACTAGATGCACCCTATGATTTCACTATTGTAAGTTGATCTGGTCATTCAAAGTAACCTCAAAATCCCATTATGACATTTAATCTGACATACAGTGATAATATATTTCTTTCCTTTTTTAGACTGACATGCCAGCTTTGTGAAAATGGTGGTGTGTCATGCTAATGGAGGTTTCGACCTCGGAAGGTGAGACCACTAAAATGTTGGCGTTAGATTCACTTTGAAATGGTTAAAAAACACAATGTTATACCAACAGTACCTTTATTTGTTTCTTTGTTTAACCCTTTTTATTTGAGTCATGGCAAAATGTTTGCCAACTGGACGGAGATATCTAAAGCCCTCCTGCGAGGTGAGGTGCCTCCAGTGTTCAGAGTGAGGAAGAGGAAGGTGGATGACATCACTGAGGTCAGATTTGCATTGCAATCTATTTCATTTAAGTTGTGTTTGTATCTACTCTCATACTAAAGCTTCAATTTCATTATTTGTTTCACCACTCTGTCTTTACAAATATATGTGTTTTGTCAATATTTACTGCATTTATTCTTCCTCGTGGAATCAGTATTTAGGACGATGTTGGAGGACAGTCCTTAAACTAAAGAATATGTTGAAAATATCATACTTTACTAAAAGTATGTTGGTTCCTGGCAATAGTCCCTTGTATTTTGAACATTCAAAGTTTTTTAGTTTTTTAGAAAGAGGAGCAACTTCAGCCTCATCCAGCTGATGTCTCAGTTGGGAAAGATGTGGAGAAAACAATGGAAGCGGTAGGCTTGTTTACTAGTTCTATGCATCATATCCAAGGAGGACGCCCTTTCCTTGGGTTAGTCTGCCAAAAAGCTACTTAATGCTTAATATGTATCAGTGGGTATGATATATTTTCTCTCTCTTTTCCGTAGTCAACATCTAAGATCGTGCAGGACTGCAAGAAGGCAGCAGAATGGGTGGTGGCACACAAACATTTGTGCACCAGGGTGCATTTGCCCGATGCGGTGAGCATCAGCACAACTAAGCACAACTAAGAGTGGCTGTCAAGCTTTGGGAGGAAAAACCTGACGAATGTGACGAGGATGAGATGGAGGCAATCTTGGAGCCATTCAAGTTTAGGTTTGAACATATGGAAGACATGTGGACCTTCTTAAACGAGATCAGAGACAAAAGAGGGTATCTGGCATTCTGCGAATGCATTTCTGTTGCTTGAATAAAGGGCAACAGGAAGTTGGAACACTTTGTCAGTTTTTGTGTGTTTTGTTTTGTTTTTCAATGAAGCATTTGATAATTCACCTTGATTATACCATGAACACCACAGAGGAATGTTGGTTTACTTTAAGATAAGCCTTTTATTGTCTCCCGCATCACACCACAAGGGCAATTTAGGAGTCCATCAAGGGGATCTAGCAGAAAAAATAACTACCAAATATGAACATAATTGACATTTTAATACACAATGGAATCTAAAATAATAATTTATAGCAAATTGTTTAATATGCAGATTCTTAATCCAATAGTGCAGTAAAGGGAGAAATAAAGTATGTAGGAGTGAAGTGAAACAGTCTATTGTAATAGCAAACAGTAATTAGACTATAGAGCTGTAATAATTATACATAACATTTTCAGGCTTATGACATAAAGAGGCAAATAATTTTAAGAAAATAAATATGGTTTTAACTAACTTCTACTGCCCTCTTAAGTGGTGTCATGCTGACATAGTTAAAATATGTATCATACAAGTAGACAAATCATCTTGTTATATCAAATACCCACAGCTGTCGGTTAATCATATCAGCTGTAGTATATCGTCTTTATTTTTATGTTATTATTCAAAGATAAATAAGGAAGTGTGTGTTATATGGCAGAGAGGTTTCAGCTCCGATTATTACATCAAATGCCCCTTTCACACCAGCGCTTTTTCAGTTCCGGCTCGAAGCTGGAGCCTGAAAAGCGCCGGTTTTTCCTGTTCACACCGCAGCGGCGCCGGCTCTTAGCTCCGGAATCCGGTTCACCTCCAGCTCCAAAAAATTGTCGGTCTAGAGGCAAGAGCTTCGGAGCTAAGAGGTGGCGTCGCTTACGTCTCTTACGTCGAGGCGTGCAGGAAACTAAACCCACCTCCCCTGAACATGGGTCGACTGTCATGCCTGCCTACAAGCAGTAGTGCTTATAAACACACTTTATAAAGTCAGGCAACACTAACCAGGCTTCGTGTGATTCTGTTTATTTGTACCTTACTTTGACCATCCGTTCACTGTTATTGATCATTGTGGAGAGAGGCAGACGTTTTGTTTTGTATTATAGCAGCTATCGGATGGAATCAATACATGGGCTGCACAGGTTGTCGTGTCCGACTATCACAAGTAGAATCATAATGAAAATACGCCGGTAAAATGTGCCTGTAGAAAACGGTTTATGCCACAATAGGATAGCAATAGCAAGTAGTCAGTTTAGCTTCGGTTGCTATGCTAACATCACCCATTTTATACCAGAGAAACTTTCATAACAGCGTTGTGATGCCAAACAGCGTCAATTCAGACTGACACACATTCACTTAAGGGGAACTGGGGATATGTATCAGCTGCTTGTGTGAGTTGGACAGTGAATACTTTAGAGCGGCCGCTGTGTGCGCTAACCGGGAGCTAACGGAGGAGAATAAACTCCCGTGGAAGAGCAGCCAACACTTCAGCGGTCGGTAAATGCCGCAGAAACACATTAATAAACAATGAACCACGGCACTCTGGAGAAAAGCATAAGGTTGGAGAAGTCGTTATTCAATTTATTCTGGCTTCGTGTGATTAAAAGCAACACGATCATCGACCCGACGCAGTTCCCCGTTATTGTGAGCGCCGTAATGCCGTTGGGGAGCAAATCAGCGATGTAAACGGTGACGTCATGACGCAGCAGCGGCAGCACCAGTCGGGTGCTGGGCGGTGTGAACAGAGCGGGAGCAGAAAAGGGAAACCGGAGCTGAACCAGAAAAGCTCTAGCTCGGAGCTAGAAAGGGAAAAGCGCTGGTGTGAAAGCCGCAAAAGAAGCTTAATGTTTTCTATTATTTTTATTTCACTATAGCTATGTGGATGGTGTCAAGGTCTAATTTTGACCGAATTAATCAGTAGCGGGTGTAACTAAAATACAAGATGTCGTCTTGTATTTTACAAGATATATATAAATATATATGATTTTATTTCGTATTTGCGTGCATTTCCTGTTTCGGAACTGTTACTGTACTGATATTAACTACAATAGGTGTCCCTATATATATATATATATATATATATATATATATATATATATATATATATATATATATATATATATATATATATATATATATATATGCGGCGGAGGTGGGGAGGTTCCAGCTGGGTCAATGGTAAAAAATTGTCAAAATCCGTTAATATATGGATGAGTGGGGGGCGGGCTGGACACAGGCCGTGGGACACCCGAGACCGGGCAATGTCCCCGGTAGAAACCGGGTGAAATAGCCCAAAAAATAAAAAATAATAAAACCGGGGAAAGTGAAAAAAAGGCACTCGTGAGGCGGGCAGAGTCCCCTGTCAACTCCCGTTACATTCCTCCATGGTGTCTTTTGAGCGAAAAACTTTTACAAGAACCAGGCTGGGGGGGTCAAAAGGGCTTGACCAAGGCCGACCCAAAGTGCACGGTGGGTGGACTCATCACCTCCGTGATGAGTCTCCATTGTGATTAGGTGGGCGGGAAAAAAAACGTGTTCGTCAGAATCGTCACTTCCTGTACTGACAGTGGAGGTGTCCTGAGAGTGGAGGTCTGCACCGGAACTGTCCTGACAGTGGAGGTCTGCAGGCAGGCTCCCATGTTTTTTTTCGGCCCCGGGACGACGGGACGTCCTTAAGCTCGAGCCCTGGTTATCCAGTTAAGCCTAATGAGAGGGGATACAGCTGTGCACATGTCATCATTAACAGACGTCGTTTAAAAGTGACATTTGAGTGACCGAGGACATCCCAATTAATACCTGAGGACTCTTCTGTCCTCGCGTCTCTCGCTCGCATCTTACGGAGGCAGAGCTAAGACGCAAGGAAGGGAGGCGAGTGAGGGAAAGGAGGAGTCGAGGAGGGGTATTGGGATGACGAGGCTAGAGAGTTACAGGGGTTGTTGTTAGCATCTGGTGCTAGCTTGGAGCTAACGGAGATTAGAAGCTGTTATATTTCACACAGGCTCCGCCCTCTACTGGACTCTATGGGTACTACTCTCTATCATGCTGTGCGTGCTTTCACCTACTGAGTTTACGTAAACGTAGCCGGCCAATCGGGGCAAGCCTACCTGAATGCGCGCGCAGGCCCACATTATATAAAGGCGGCTACACCCGCCGCCCACTATCCTTTTTCTCTTCAGACGAGCTGACAACCGAAGAGTTAAACGAACGAAGATTAGAAGATTAAAAGAAACGAAAAATGGACTCACCATTACTGGAAGCTCGGCCATGCACCTGCCCTGGTTTGATCGCGGGCGCCGGTCTCCACCACCTCTGCTTAGAGTGTTTGGGGGACCAAGATATGGCCGAGGCGGTGCCATTCACGTTCGCCATTCCAGCGGGGCGGAGGGCTCCGTTTGCCGTTGTCGGGCACTTCCGGGTCCGGTCCATGGAGGTCCACCGCCCTAGGTGATGACCATGGCGGCGGAGCGCAGCTGCTCCCAGCGGGCAGCAGGCTGCGCAGGATGCTGAAAACAGCTCTGCCACGCGACCGCGTGACAAGGCGATTGCAAATAAACACGGGTGTGTTTGGCATCTCGCTCATTGGAGATGCCCCCACCTCACCAGATCAGAGCGATTATTTGTAGCTTGGTCGTGGCCGCCGCCGTTGTCTGCCGTGTGATATCCCGGTGATCACGCCGCATGGCACTTTCCAAAAGGACCGTGTTGTTGATCTCCCTGGCCGGGAGCCCCCGTGTTTGCGGAAGGGCTCTTTGGATCGATCTCCTTGGTTACGTGGGTGAGGAGCGGTGAGGAGTAGTCGCAGCGTGGCTGCTTCTTGCTCATCCCCAGAGGAAAAAACACTGTCCCACACTCCCCGCCCCCTCTGTAAACTCCAGTATAGGAGCCAGCAGGTGGGCGCGTGCACGTGAGTGGAATAAACCGAAGTGCTGTCAAAACACTGTGCGGGTTCAAGAGAGAGTGATGTGTGTGTGATAAACGCATTCAGTGAAAACGATTGCATGTATCCCAGAGCAAGAGTCATCTCTCTCCACATTTCCACTTTTCACCATAATGTCCGTTTCAAATAGACGGCATTAGGACAGAGCCGCGGCCCCACGGGAGCGTTCCGCGGTGCGTTCAAGGACCTCAGTAGAAAATCGGCCCTTTTCTGTGTCAGCCCCCATGCCAAAACTCCCTTCTTATGGAAAGGTTTGGCAGCGGAGTAGGCCACCAGAGAATACTACAGCTTCTTAGCTTTGGCTCCACAGCTGCTGGCATGTCCCCTGAACACAGTTTTGTGGGGAATGGAAGCAGAGTAGAGGGGCAGGACACTGAGACTGGGTTACTCACTCAAGCTTTGCAGCGTCCCTCCTCCATTCAGGGGCAATAGAGAGTCAAATCTATCATCCTGGGAGGAGATAGGTTTCCTTTCAACAGGAAGTCGAAAAGAGGCCCTGTTGCATGAACGGTGGGTTACGTATTGTAACCCTAGTTCTAGAGTGTTGTGTGTGTGTGAAAAATGCATTTAGTAAAAACTATGGCATTTATCCCAGAGCAAGAGTCATCGCTCTCCACAATTCCACATTTTCCCATAATGTCCGTTTCAAAGAGACGTTTATTTCCTACATATCTTTGCCATTTATTGTCTTGCTTATAATAATGATAAGTCATTTATAAATATCATTTTAGAGCACACATTTGAAATCAGTAGGCGAGGCTGTCATTTCGCCAGCTGTTACTCTCATGAGCACTGTACCACTCCTTGTGAAAGCTTCTCTTTGCTGCTCCATGTAGTGTTTTGGGAAATGTCTTAAGATTGGGCTGCACAGCTGCATCACCTTTGCATTTTGATATATCTAAAAGAAAGATATAGAATTGGTCAATATAATTATCTAATGCAGGCGTAAAGTTGTTCTCTATCATAGCATTTGTTTTATATATTTGGTTTGATCATAATCACTAATATAATAAGATGCATTTGTAAATCTTTACGTAAGGAATCCTATATAACACAAAGTAGGAATGAACATGTTATTTTACATGATGTTGTATGTGAGGCACATGC